TCTGAAGAAGGGTCTAGGCCCGAAACGTCAGCCTTCCTGCTCCTCTGATGCTGCTTGGCCTGCTGTGTTCATCCAGCTCTACACCTTGTTAAATCAATACTTGACACTGTTTTCAGGAGACCAACATGATTCCAGAGTCATTGCTAATGAACATCAGTCTAAATATCTGCCTTAGTTTAAAGTACAAATAAAATGCAATCAGAAAGTAAGATTCACCTCTCTTCTGCCATGGAGCTGCCAGTGTCTTTCTTCATTACAGGTAAGTCAGTCTCTGGTAAACCTTTCGAAACCTTTCTTTCTGAAGTCTGTTGATTTGGTTTATCACACGTAGAAAGGATAGACGAGGTTGGTGTAGTTGAGTCACACACACCTTTAGCAGGGGTGCACTGTTCTTTTGGTTGCTGCCGTGAAACCCGATCGACAACAGAACAAGTGTCGGGAAATGCTGCACAAACATTAGTTAAAATTTGTATTGTTTTTAAAAGCCCATTTACCATTTGAAAATAAATCACACAATCACTTCAATAGTCCATGTATCAAACAACTTGCATTTAAACATACATTTTGCAAGTTTGCTCCTTGAAATGTACTGAAAGCACATGTAACTAGTTTCTTTTCTGAAAAAGAAAGGAATTTAGGAGTTGGGACATTATGTCGAGGCTGCACAGGATGTTGGCGAGGTCTCTTCTGGACTACCGTGTCCAGTTCTGGTTGCCCTTTTATAGGAAGGATATTATTAAGCCAGAGAGGATTCAGAAGAGATTTACCAGGATGTTGCTGGGAACGGAGGGTTGTGAGCTATAAGGAGGGGCTAGATAGGCTGGGACCTTTTTAACTGAGTGAAAGGAGGTTGAGGAGTGGCCTTAGAGAGGTTTATAAAATCATGAAATGGTATAGATAAGGTGAATGGCAGGTGCCTTTTCCCTAGGGTGGGAGATTTCAAGACTACAGGCATATTTTAAAGGTGAGGGGAGAAAGATTTAAAAAAAAAGACATGAGGGAAAGTAGTGGATGCAGGTACAGTTACAACTTTTAAAGGACACTCTGATAAGTTCACGATTAGGAAATGTTTGGAGGGATATAGGCCAAGCGCAGGTAGTTTGGGATTATAGTTGGCATTGACTGGTTGGACCAAAGGGCCTGTTTCCATCCTGTATGGCTATGACTCTAACGGTTCAAGCAAGATCTAATTTTCACTGTCTCTATTTAATCCACCTTAGATATAGCTGAATACTTTGACATTAAATTGTAGTGTAGTGGTTATGTGACAAGATAAGTGGATCCCATAGACCTAGATTAATAATAGAGATCAAGTTCAAATTTCATCATGGCAGTCAGATTTTGAATTCAGTTAAACTTCAATTAAGCTTTCTCATGTCCTTTGTGGATAGAAATTTGGCATCCTTATCTGGTCTACACACAGCTCCAGTAGCATATCAACGTGGTTGATCTAGCAGATCACCAAGTTGCATTAAATCACTACCGCAGCAGTTTTGGAATGTAGCCTCTCGCTACCTTTTCCAAGCCAGTAGCTTTGGACAATAAATGCTGGTTTTCCTAAGCAATGTCCACATCCCATGAAAAAATTTATTTTAAAAATTGCCAGGTATGACCATTTTTGTCAGCTGACTGTACTACTGGCATACTGTGGACAGTTGTGTGCACCACATTTATAGGAAGGATGTGAACACATTGGAGTTTGCAGAAGCGATTCACAAGAATAGTTCCAGGGATGAACACCAAGTTATGACAGCTGGTTGAAACAGTTTTCCTTAAAAGGGAAGGCAGCTAAGGGGAGATCTAAGAGATTTTCAAAATCACGAGGGGGTCAGATAGAGAATACAGGAAGAAAGTATTTCTGATTGTAAAAGAATAAGAACCAGAGTGCAGATTTAAAGTGATTTGCAGAGGTAGGAAATATAACCGGAGGGGGTAAAAAAAAGCTCTTCCCACTGAGTAGTCAGGAAGTGAAATGTAATACGTGACTATAGCTTGGAGGAGGCGGGTTCAATTGAGGCATTCAAAAGGACATTGGAGATTAAATGGATCGAAATAGTGTTCAAGGGCATAGCAAAAGGAGATTGACAGTAAGCAATGATACTCATTTGAAGATTTGGTGCTAATATGGGCTGAATGGCTTCTTATGCCACAGGATTTCTGACTCAAAGTCAGATCCAAACATGAAACCTAGTTTGATAGATTGCATGTTTCAGTTTTTTTAGTTAGTTAACACTGCAGCTGGTCATTGAAACATCCATACCAAAAACAAAACAAATAAGCTATAAACATCTATAAATATTAGTTAGAAATATCTTAACATAAACATTGAACAAAGTCCCACCCTGTTTCCCAACACTGTTAGAGATTCAAATCAGAAATTCTACTCTTATCTTTCCATTTCTACTTAATGGACTCCATCTAGTTTCTCTTTGTTGAGCTGTAGAGAAAATTTTACAACTTCTCAGTCTGATGAGATGAACTTTTGACAAGTCTGACGGCCTAAACGTTCTCTAATTCTAACTACCTGAAGATTCCTATCCCAACCCTGCTTGCTTGTAAGATACTCAAACTAGAAAGAAAGCTGCTGCCGCAGAGACAGGTATCTTTGGGACAGAACAGAACATTGCTAGGACAGAAACTAATGCTTGCTTCTGAATAAAATCTCAGCCCTCAGCCCAAACTCTGGCATTTTCTCAACTGAACTGAAAACAAAGAAATATGTTCATTCTCAAGGTCTGACTACATCGATACAAAGGGGTGTAATGTGACTGTTGTGGTGTAACCGTGCTATTCTTAAAAACTCAAATGGAGAAAAAAAAATCTGCAGGCTGGTGTTTTAGATAAGGTTAGAAATGAATTTGATATTGTTATAGTTAAACTTGTAACAAACATCATATGGACTGGTTGCTTGGAAGCCAAGAAGTTGTCAGAGATGAAATTCTTGTTTCATCAGTTGTGCAAAGGCTGAAGAACAGAACTAGATATGCAAGATCAAAAATCTAATGAGCCTGCCAAAAGACAACTGGTTAACTGAGTTTCGAGGTGGCAGGCTCGGCCTATCCAAAGTTGATCATGTGATAGAAAGCACTGAGCAGGTTGTAAAGGAACTGTGCCCAAACATAATGCTCAGATCAAAGTAGGCTGATGAACTACTTGGAGACAGGAAGGAGAAAATGGATTGCTTCCTCAGATGTGAATCTCAGAAAGCCCAGGTAACCTTGCACACATATGAGTACCAATAATCTCGAATGCAAGTTTCCTTTGGAGTACCAAATACGCACTGCTTACAAAGTACGCTTGGGAATTTCAAGTCTTTGTTACCCAGGAGTAAACTTCTGAACATGAAGGGGGATACTAACTAACAAAATATTTTAGTAGTTTACAAAACGGTTGCAATAAATTTTATCTACTCAAGGCAGGCATGTTGTCATGTATAACTCATTCACACCCACGTGCAGTGATTCTAAAAATCAGCTGTGCTGACTGCACCTTTGTTTACAATAAAACAAGTGAATATTGGGTGTACTGCAGCATATGTTTACGCTAACCTCAAGTCTCACCCCTCAGGAGTAGACAGTGAATAATAGTACATGACATCAATAACCCTTCAAAACCTAACCTGTTACACATGATTTGAACTAAATTTTGGATTCATTATCCAGGAAGAATCCTGGATGCTGGCATTAGGCTCTGTAAATATGCAAAGCAAACCCCATGATATATGTAGAATCCCTAATGAGCAACCAGTTCACACTGAGCATGACCACTTAATTGCATGACACCTCTGAGCTTCCCACAATTTTGCAACTGCTCAAATGCAAAAACCCTAGTGTTGAAGTTTTACTGTTTGGACCTAGCAGAGATGGTAGCCTCTGACTGGTGAACTAGAATACAGAGCCTATATTGCTTGTGAAGACCAAAACTTTTGTTAGGTTTTGGAAGCATCTAAAATATTTCTCCCACCTCGACTTTCTGGATCATGTTTCACAGACAAGGCTACTTTGCCAGTTGTTTTTAAATTGGTCACAAGCAGACTGCTAGACTGGTTCGCATCAAACATGTCTTACCAGCAAAGCTTTTTGCAGGACTCTCCACTCTGAAGAATCCTGCATCAAACACAATAACATCTTGTTGATTTTCCTGTCTATTGGTGCCGGTCACTTCCCGTTTCAGCTTGGCTTTCATAGATGCCTTTAAAGCAGCAAGACTGCTTTTTGGTGCAATCATGGTTTTGTTGGCTTTAAGTGCAAGATCTTCTGTGGGTTTTAGGATGGCAACCTTTTTCTAAACAGAGGAATGTGAAAGTTACCAAATTTTGATAACGCACACTGTCAAAACTACAACTGATAAAGTCTGAAAAGCTACGCTTAAAATAGGAATTAAAAAGAAAGCAAAATCATAAGAGTTTGCACATTTACAAGGACAACAAGCCTTACAGCCACATTTGATGACCTCTTCAATGTTTAGCTGGTTGACTCCTCCCAACTCTGTTTAATTTTTGCAAGACTCATGCACATTCCTGTTACAGACTGTGGCACATTTTCATAGTAACCTGATAGGATTAAAAAGAGTGCTTTGCAGGAAAGTGCATAGTCTAAAATAGAAAACTTATATTTTGAATACATTGTTGTATGGAAGAAACATGTAGGCAGCATATAGAACTGTTTTCTAAAGGAAAAGGACAAAGTTACTGCTTCAGCAGATCAGCCACTAAAGCAACTTGGTCCAATGACCAGGATATTGATTTAGGCAGATAGATGCACAAATGAACTGTAAGAAGCTTGCATTAGCATTACTACCCTTTGCTTATAGCTACAATGCTTTTTTTAAGAAAGAAAAATAAGCTGATATGCTGGATTTGGATGATTTACAAAACACTACAGGATAAACACCAAAAAGCATCTAGATGACAGAGAATGACCAATTCCAAATCTTTTTGTCCCATACCTTGACCATTTTCTTGGGCACTGACAGCAACTCATTTGGCTCCTCCCAACTATTTTCTTGAAGCTTTCTCAGATGCTCAAATTTTTTGTTCACATCTTCAACCTGGGAGGCAAGTAACCAAGTTAGAACTGACACAGTGGGATGAGAAAAAGAAAAACAGATTTTCTCACGCACACTTCTCTCAGATTGGTGGGAAAAAGAAACTTACACTTATATTTGAAACTGGGAAAGACAATAGTGGGACGTTGTTTTCAGCAGCATCTCTCCACTATTGCAAAGAATTCTATTGATTGATTTTTCCTCTCAAAGTGTTGTTGCCTTTAGGCTCATTTTGCCAACTTAGCTGATACAATTGTTGCAGCCAGTGACTGAAAATTTTAAAATTTTCACTAATCTCAATATAGCAGCCTCTTTGATAACCCATTTTATTTTTGCAAGTTGACAATCTAAAAGAAATGACACTTTTCCATCACTTCAATTTACTGCAACCTCAGCCATTTAAAGCAGTTGCTTCCAATCTTTTCCTGGCCAACCCCATATGTTAGCCTCATCATCTGCTAGTATTCACTACTTTCAGAAAATCCCAGGTCAATCCCTGGTCTGTGCAGAGATATTTCAGTGGTGGTAGGAAATGCGAAGCCTTCACAGCTGGCACTTCTGATAGCTATCAAACATGAACGATTGAGAAAATTTTGCCATCCCCTCAGTTAATTTCTTTCTGCTCACTGTACAGATAATAAGAGAATGAGAGTGGCAAGTGCTTCCTAAACAGGAAAAGAAAACAAGCTTCTGTCACTTGTTGTGGTGGTGGTGGGGAAAAAAAAAAAAATTGACTGTGCTCAAAGAAAATCTTCTGTAAATACCTGGAAGTAGACCATGTCCCAGAATCCTTCCAGATCTGTGTAAGTTACTTCCTTTTCACTTGTCTTGAACTCGCAATCATCAACAAGGCCATTAAACTGTTTGAATCGCTCAGCCATGAGAAGACGCGCTTGTCCCACAGTTGTGCGAATCAAGTCCTTAACTAAATGGAAATATAATTTGAAAGAGTACTTTGGGATGTTAGTTTTTGTTGGATAGGGTGCTTAAAAGGGAAAGTTTGTAAAGAACAAATAATTTTGTTGGCTGGTGCTATCACAGAAGATCTAGCAAATTGTTAGTTATTCACCAGAGCAAAAGATTCAGAGAACTAAAACATTTACAGGTCATTCATCCCATTTTATTTGACTTGGATGCACAGGTGAAAAGCCAGCAAATTAGGTAGAATCAGACTCAAAAATTTCTACTTGCAAAATAGTTCAGGAGAACATGTTGTAATAGATAGTGGTCCATCAAGTCAGCTTTCAACCCAGCTAAACAGAGGTCAATAGGGATCTGGAAGTTTTCCTAACAAAAAAAGCGTTGCTAATGCTGTCCAGCTTTAAAGTAAGGCAAAAAGATCAGCTGAGAAGGAACGAAAGCTTTCATGAGAAGATGAAACACATTTTTGAAGATTTTAGTCATAAAAATACAAAACCCGATTGCTCTAGAAATTAATTTTTGGACTTTTATTCATAAATCATGAAAATCTGCTAGGACTGACCATTAAGTGCAGATTAACTAAAAATCTAATTAGGCTGATTCCTGAAATATTAAAAATTTAACTGATATTTTAATACAAGTTGTGACAGCAGAAACAAAAGAGCATCACTGCATGTCAAATCACAGAACTTGTTATTCAGCTCCTGTTTTGATTGGAAATATACAACTTACACAGAGTGACAAGCTCTTGCAACAGTGCTGTCGCCTGGAATGCTCTTTTAGGAAGACCTTTTGGAGATATTTTAGTCTTTTATGGTTTAGCTCAAGGTTCATTTCAAGTACTGCTCAGTACCACATCACACTGCCATCCAGTGGAGGCCAAGGAGTGAAAAAATATTCATGGCTGCAAAGTCAAAATGTACAGCAAAGAGGACAAACATTGAATTCTAATGGCTATCAACCAAACTGATCCCTGGGATGAAAAGATTGTCCTGTGAGAAGACATTAAAGGAACGGAGCTTAAACTTTCTAGCATTTAGAAAGCAGGAGAGGTGATCTCACCAATGCATACAGAATTCTTTAATGTATTACTGCTTAGGGAGAATATCACAATGCCATTGATGGGGGACACCTTTGAGAGCTCACCCAGCAAGGCCATATTGCTTCAGCTCAGGTATAGAAAGGATGTAATCACTTTGTTGGGGGTTGTATAACAGGCCTCCCATCAGTCAGCTGGAGACAGAGGAACAGATATGTGGACAGATGGAAAAATGTTGTTGTACTGGGTGACTTTATCTTCCTCCATATTGACTGGGGCTCCCTTTTAAGTGCTAGGAGCTTGGATTGGTTGGGGCAGAGGGTGTGCATTTGTTAGGTGCACTCAGGAAAGTTTCTTGAAGCAATATGTCAATGATCCAACTAGGAAACAGGTCACATTAGACCTGTTATTAGGGATTGAGGCCAACAAAGCGACTGAAGTTCAAAGCAGGATCATTTTGGGAAGAGTGACCATAACTCCACAAGTTAAGTTACTTGTGGATAAAGATAATAGATGTCCCTGAGTGAAAGTACTAAACAGTGGGAAAGGCTAGCAACAATAATACTAGGCAAGAACAGGGGAACGAAAACAACCCTGGTAAAACAGGATTAAAGGAAAATCCCAAGGCTTTTTATACATATAAAAAAGGAGCTAGAGGGTAGCTAGAGAAAAGTTTGGTCCACTTAAGGACAAAGGAGGAAATTTATGCATGGAGCTTAGAGGATGTGGGTGAAGTCCTAATGTATTCACAAAAGGAGATGAACATGGTGGATAGTGAGTCTAAAAAGGGGTACGTTCATATTCTGGGACATGTTGATATAAAAGGTGGTGGGTGTTGGTGTTTTGAAAAGCATTATGGTAGATGCATCCCCAGGATCTGATGGGATCTATCACAGAACACTGAAGGAGGAAACTGCTAGGACCTTGCATGAAACCTTCGTATCCTTTTTAGGTCACAGAGGACTGGAGAACAGCCAATGTTGTTCCTTTAAGGATGGTATAAGGGATAATCTGTGAAATTACAGGCCAGTGAACCTTATACCTGCGGTAGGGAAGGTTCTTAGGATTTATTCACATTTGGAAAAAAGATGGACTTATTAGAAACAGGCAGCATAGCTTTGTGGAGGGGAGGTCATGTATCAAACTTGATTTTTTTTTGTGGAAGTGACAAAGATGATTGATGAGGGCAGAGTGTGGATGTTGTCTACATCAACTTTAGCAAGGCCTTTGACAAGGTCCCTTATGGCAGGCAGATACAGAAAGGATCCAGTGAACTCATAGAACTGGCTTGATCATAGACAGTAGTGGTGGAATGGTCCTTTTCTGACTTGAAATCTGTGACCAGTGGCATTTTGCAGTGAACATTGCTGAGACTTCTTGCATGTTTTATATATATAAAAAAATTGATGATTACCAAAGGTTGATAATCAAGGGACTTTCTGAAGAAGGGTCCCAACCCAAAATGTCAGCTTTCCTGCTCCTCCGGTGCTGCCTGGCCTGCTGTGTTCCTTCAGCTCCACTCCTTGTTATCTATTGATCACCAAGGTTGGGAGAGCTGTGGCTAGTGATTAGGATTACCAGTGGAACAGCAAGAAATAGATTGGCTGGAGAAATGGCAGATGGAATTTAAGCCAGACAAATGTGGGGTGATGCATTGTGAAAGGTCTAATACAGGAGGAAGTATACAGTAAAGGGCAGAACCCTTAGAAGCATTAACAGGAGGATTTAGGCATTTAGCTCCACAGTTCTGAGTGTGGCAACACAATGAATAGGCTGGTCAAGGTGGCGTATGGCATGCCTTTATCAGTTAGGGCATACAGTATAAAAATTGGAAAGTCATCTTGCACCTGTACGGAACTTTAGTAAGGCTACATTTGGAATATTGGAGTGTGTTCTGGTCACCACATTACCTGAAGGATGTGGAGGCTTTGGAGAAGGTCTAGAAAAGATCTCCAGGACGTTGCCTGGTTTAGAGGAAAATAGCTATTACAAAGGATTGGAAAGAGATTATTTTCACGTGAAAATTAGATACAGTTTGTAAAATTACAAAAGGCATGGAAAGAATCTATAGTTGCAGTCTTCCTCCTAGGGTACATAGGTTTAAGATAAATGGGGAAAGGTTTAAGAGATGAGAGGCAAGATTTTTATAAACAAAACACAGCAGATGTTAAGTGCCTAAAATACCAGAGGTGGCAGCAGAAGTACAATAACATTTATGTATCTGTCAAGATGCGTCTTAAATAGGTAGGGAAGAGAGGGATATAGACCACGTAGAGGCAAAAGGGTTTTTGAGAAACGTCATGTGCCAAGTTGTGAGGAATTTCTTCACAGAGGGTGGCAAATCCTTAGAATTTACTAAAGCAGAGGCAGCTCTGCCATCAAGTATGTCCAATGTAGATTTCTAGACATTAAAAATTGCAATGCAATTGTAGAAGTTATAGGAAAAAAAAGCATTTAGGTAGATCAGCCATGATCTAGCTGAATATGGAGTGGGTTTTATGGACTGAACACTGAACCGAATTTCTATTACCTATGCATATTCATGAATGGAGCATGTTGCAAGCAATTCAATTTTTAAATTTATGTCAAGTGAGATTTCATTAAGCTATACAAAGTTACATTTTCTTCACTCTCTCCTTCTATCTGGACTGTAAATCAAGTTTTTAATTATACAGCAAACCTTTTATTAATGGACACCCGAGACCAGGAGTGTTCTGGTTGATCAAATATTCTGGTTATTTAAGAGGTCCACATAAATGCAAAAACACACTAAGTAACAGAAACACAATGCAGAGGGCATATACATTGTTATACTTCACTTACGGTGTAAATGACTTAGATAATAATGCAGCTTTGCCTTAAATAAAACATATTGGCAGAGAGCCCTCTCACTCGCACCCTTAACCGACTACTCAGACATTGCAATAATACAGTAAACTTCCAGTATTTCAGGTATATCATTTTTGCCAGTTTATCAAGACTGCCACATTCATAATGTCAGTTCAGTTAAAACAGTTCGCTCTATTTATTTTCTAATAAAGAAACAAGTCAAGCTAAAAAGTCAAATGTGACCAAACACGAAATTATTATATCTGCTTGCAAAACACAGGAACAGGGACAGGTAGATACAAATGGTAAATGTTAGGATGTAATAAGCAATTTTAAGGCATCTAAAGTCAGTAACTTATTTTTAATGAATGTACTGTTTAAAATGACTGAGAACTGTAATATGGCAAGTATTGAAAAAAACTAATGAAATTTTAAACTGCTATTGTGGAATGAAATTGAAATCAGGTTTTCTAAAATTTCAATTTTAAAAGGATCCAAGGCATGCTAGTGTGCAAGTTGCTTTGACAATGGGATTCATTTGGCACAGTTCAACCTTACCGTGATCTGGAATCTCTGCAGAATTAGCCCACCCTTCCCACTGCTGGCAAAGTCCCGTCAAACTTTCAGTCTCCGACTGAACAATTCCTCTGCAAAAGAACACATTCAATTTAACATCATCCAACCCATTTTTCCCAGATATCCAAAATAATCATGCTTCAGCATGGTACCTATGATAATTTGATGCCTGCAACCGTGATATCAATGATATCGTTTGCATTTTCCAGTCTGAACAGCCCTCTACTGGTTTCGCTACTAGATTTTCATGCTCAAATTTCTCAAGCTAGTCTTCAGCACTCAAACTTCAGAGTCAGAGTCAAACAGCACTGAAACAAGCCCTTCCATCCAATTCGTCCATGCTCACCAAGTACCCAAACTAAACTAGCCGCACTTGCCTGCACTTGGCACATATCCCTCCACACATTTGCCATTCATGTACCCATCCAAATATCTTTTAAGTGTTGTAATTTTACCTGCATCTACTACTACTTTCCACATACAAACGATCTTGTGTGGAAACGTTGCTGCCAGGTCTATTTTAAATCTTTCCCCTCTCATCTACAACCTATGCTCCCTAGTTTTGAACTCCCCCACCCTAGGGAAAAGACCCTTGCTACTCATCGTATCTATGCCCTCATGATTTTATAATTCTCTATAAAAGGTCACACTCAACCTCCTACGCTACAGGAGGAAACCTTTAGCCTATCCAGCCTCTCTTTATATGTCAAGCCCTCTAGTCCCAGTAAATCTAGTCCTTGTAAATCTTTTCTGAACCCTATCCAATTTGATAATATCCTTCCTATAGCAGATGCCTTAGATTGCCATTCAAACATGATAGCCTAGATATTTTTGACGAACTTCTCCAAGCATGTTATGACATATCTCTGGGCAAGATGGGACTTGAATCTAGGTATGTGTGCTTAGAAGTACAGACAATCCCAATACACCACAACAGCCTTAAAATGTAGGGCCTAATTGGCCTCCCAAAAGGCAATTCTGAGTATCAGTGGACAGCAAATTAGTTGTGGCCAATTCAGTGTAGTGGCATTTACAAAGACCAAGTTAAACTGCAGCAGCCCTTCTGCAATCCAGTTCACATAACTCAGCACTGATTGGACACAGGTTTGTGGTTCAGTTACATTCTAGCTTTACCAAGAGCTTACAGCAAATTGCAAAACAAAAATCTACCTCTCAAGTTGTTCACTGCTATTTGCTGAATTTTTAACATTTAGATATGTACTGGTAGATAATAAGGACGTCTTAAAACACTCAAATCAATCATTTAAATTCAGACAGCATCAAGGGATTTGTATTGTTATAGCAATGCCATCGAGGGCACAGTTGATGGCACGTAAACAAAAAATAAACTCAAGTCTTTTCACAGCTGAGGCAGGAGGCTCATTCTCTCCCAGATTAACAAATCTGTTAATATTTAACATTTTAACATATAGTTAACATTTTAAAAAATGCATTTGCAACAAGTATTAATATTGAGCTAATACACAAAGCAGCAAACCCGAATCAGCTATTTATTCAGTCTGTGCGGAATTTGTTTTCCCAAAGACAAAAACAAATACGTTGGAGCTGATCTGTGACTCTGCTCTTCCACATCTGTTAAATTTGAAAAATAAAAAGCCCATTGGTTGGACGTACATTAAAAAACAGGCTGATTTTTCAAATCACAACCCTCCAACTGCCTTACAGAAAAGTGAAGACACAATGCATGAGATAATTCCCCAAAAATCAGCAAGATGGACCTCAGGACCACACAAATTTCTAAAAGGAGGCTGCTGCTTTACTATGAATGTAGGTATCTCTGGATAGGCCAGCATTTATTTCTCACTACTAACTAAATGTGAGAAGGCAGCGAGATCTGCCTTTATGCTGTCTCTGCTTGGTTTGCAAAATACTTAGGATGTTTACTCAACTACACACGGACAACTCCTAAAAAGACATTTACACTTCTCGCTGCTGTGGAAAAGTGTCAACAAAGACCCCTCCCACTCCAGTAATACTATCTTCCAATCTCTTCTGTTAGGCAGAAGATACAGAAGCTTGAACATGCACCAATAGGTTCACGAAAAGCTTCTTCCCTGCTGAACGGACTTTTCTAGTTTCAAATCTAATATTGACCTTGCTTTTGTGCACCTCCTGTGCAGTTGAAACCTTGTATGCCTCGCTGTGAACATCCTTTGATCTGTATGGCCTTGTTTGCCATGATCTGCCTGTACTTCTCGCAAAACAAACCTTTTCATTGTGCTTGGGTACATGTGACAAAAATTAATCAAATCAAAGGGCATACAGTCACCATCTTTCAAAATGGATTTGTCAAGTTAGGTGAATCTCACCTAGACCATACTTCAACAATAAAGAACATTGTTACTATATGCCAAGATTTCAATTTTGTGGCTTACCTGAAATGAGCAACATTGTGTAGTGGTCCACTGACATCAGTTGTACAGCTTGCTAAAGAATCTTGTGGTTTGTTAGATGCAGGTACTTCTTCAATCACTATAAAAGGTCAGATTTCATAATTATTCAAATGTTGAATTGAACACATGTTGGGTTGCCTTTTATGACATTCCCAAAGACAATTTAAATGTCCAAAAAAGTTCCAGTTAAAGCAAAAAGGAGCAATTTTAAAAGATGAAAACAGCCTTAAAAAGGAAATAAACAATTCAACTGGTTGAACTCAAATTTGATAGCAACATTTCATTTTTGGTCGCTATTACTACAACAGGACGCTGTCATGAGGCTTTACAGCATGTATAACAGGAGCATAAGGATTACAGTTCCGTAGAATGAATTATTTACCAGTCCATCAGAACTGTGACTTACCAGCACCAACAGGGTCTTCACATTTTGCTTCAGGGAAATGCTCAGACTCAAGTCTTGCGACAAGCTTACTTCTAGTTCTGGTCACCAAATTTGGTGTTGTGGAAGAATCAACATTATTTTTTCTGGACAGAAGGAAAGAGAAACATATTTACAAATGTTTATTTTTGCAGAATCGAGATACAAGAAGGAGGAATTTCTTCAGCCAGAGGGTGTCTAATCTGTGGAACTCATTGCTGGAGAAAATCATTGACAGAGCCAGATAGGTTCTTGATTAGTAAGAGGATCAAGGGTAATAGGGAGAAAGCAGGAGAATGGGGTTGAGAAACATACCAGTTCATCATCGAATGGCACAACAGACTCAATAGGCCGAATGTCCCGATTCTGCTCATATTTTTTATGGTCTTAACCATGGATAAATAGTGAACTGCATGCCAGGCCACATGGGAACATCAATGGCGTTCATCAACTATACAGAATTTAATTCAGATGTTAAACAGGGCTTCCCAAAGCAGGGGTCAGGACCCAAATGGGGTCACATGCTCTAAAGTAGCAATGGCCACCAGGAAGTTCTAACTGAGTTTAATAACTATGCTCCTGCTCTAACAATCAGGTCCCATTCCCCCTATTTTTGTAAGTGCTCACCAGCCTCTCACATTCGCTCTCACAATGACAATTTTCAAGCATTGAAAATGGGGTCACTGTGGGAAAGTTTGGACAGTATTGTATCAAGAATGTTTATGCAAGAAAAGGGCATGAGGTTTAGAGCAGGGAACAAAAGAAATTGATCAGAGAAATCACAATGATGCAGCTGGTTAAATGGTAATAAAACAGTTCATAAACATTAGCCTGCGAGACCACAAAGAAATGCTAATAGATAGTGAAAACCACTGCTCAGCTTTGCCACATTCAGCAAGGTTTATCCATCTTATTTCCGAAGACAGTAAAAATCTTGTAAAAGCCCTGAAGCAATTAGGTAGCAATTTTAACTCATTCCCTCCCTTCACCCAATAGTTCTATTGCAAATGCCAAGCACACACTGGGATACAGTTTTACAAGCATTCTCCAGTACTTCAATCAAATGGCCATCATTGGAAGGCCAGTCTTGATGAGAGTTATCAGGATATTTGGAAAAAAAAGCAAGATGCTGCATCAGCTCTTCACGTTATTTGTCCGAACATATGCCGTTCCAGTAAATCAGGAACCGGTGAAACAACAGCCAAATTTCCTATCCCTTAACCAAGTGGGGCCAAGGCCAAATAACTCCAATTGTTGACCTAGCTGCAGTTAATGAATTCTACACAGCTGAGTGAATTATGGCTCTTTACTATTGCAGCTTCACTAATCTAATTAAACTTCGCACAAAGGAAAGAAAACAAGTAGCTACAGTACACTTTCCCTGATTGCTAACACTCCACCTAGCACAACATCCACTAGAGGAAGTTAGGAAGCCAAATACGGTCAGTTTAGTAAGAATAATTGTGAAGTTTCACAAGGGTGTGCTGAATGGATTTGCTAGCAGTACTATACAACTATCACTGGCATTCAGTAGAGAGAGAGTGGAAAAAACATGTAGCAAACTAAGCAAATGCATGAAAAACCCGTTTGATTAGGAAGAATTATAGTGTTCTAACTTACGATCCGTGCTCGACAGGACTCCAAGAACAACTTGAAAAGAAATTATTCACACTTCGGGGGCTGAGTGGGGGAAATTTCAATTGGGCCAACCCAGGCATGGGTGCAAAGACATAGTTTTCAGGTGCAAAAGAGATTCTCTTGCCCACACGTCCAGTACCCAGTACTGGTGGCATTTGGAGCCCAGTGTCATTATCAGTTGGTTGAATTGGTTCCTTGCAACTTGGCGGTTGATCTTTCTCAGTGACTTCCATATCTTGTTCTTCACAGGGGATAGACACTGGTTCATCGTGAACAACCTGAAAGACAGTTTGAAGTATTTAATTTCAGTTATAACCAGCTTTAAATTACTTTAGCTTAGGTACAAGATTACATCAATGCATTTTAGTCAGTCATCACTGCATGTCACAAAACTGCTATCATTTTAAGTAGTCAATAGATAGTTTTATTCTATTTTCCCATACTTGGAAAAACAAGATACTAAAAATGCTAATTCAGTCATTTGCAATCTGAGCAAATTTTGACACAGCTATTATGGTGCTGTTTACATCCAATCAAGGATGAAGTTAAAGAACAAGAGAGGTTGAAAGTCATTAATCCAGAAGACATCACAGGCTATGTATTCGATCACAAATGCCCTTCTGGAACAAAGTTTACGAGAGCATGTTGAAGCCAACATCACACTTTTAGACGAGGCAGAAAACAAATATGTGCAATTTAAAGCGCAAATAATAATTCACTAGCTGCATGGTCATAGCATAATATTACATAACAAAAACAGCAACAAATGACAATTGCAAAATCTATAACCAGCGACTTGAAAGACAGGAAATAGGTAGCCAAATCTCCAATGACAAATTATGACCTGGAATGGAATTCCATTCTTAAAAAGGGGCACCTTAATGGAATGTTTTTAATAAACCCAGGGCATGCCAATGGAAATTATTTTATGCATTTGAAGTGTCTTGGCAGGCTTCAATTTGGAAACTTATGGATCTAATGAGATGGAGACTGGAGCTGACCAAACTTAGCATTCCATCAACTAGAAGAGCCCCGAATATAGGTTTCAGGGTATACAACCAAGTTGGACTAAGAAGTTAGCGGGAAATCTCTCAGATGGTAATCACTTATGACATCAATACTTATCCCATGCTTAAAACCCCTCTATAGAACTACGGGAACACTGTTTCGTTACAACTCTGGCTTTTTGCTGCCTCAAGTTTCCTTGCTTTATAAAATGACACCACCGTACCAGCTTGAAGCTTGGCATTCTCACTACCTTTGTAAACCTCCGATTTGGTTACTTTTTCCATAATCCCGTTGTGGCTTTGTCACTGACATTCCTCCACAGTTTTACATAATTAAAGTTGGCTTTCCTCAATGTAATCCAGTACCCAGAGTTTGGAACTCAAAATTAGAAAAATACGCAACAGAGTAATCAGACTTCAACTGTGAAACATTGTACATTTGACCAACAAAATGGCCATCACAAAATGAAGCAGGCCACTATCCTAATGTCACAACGTGGCATTCTTTCAGACAATACACAGGTTCCAAGCAAAACATTTCGCATATTTCAAGGGAAAAACAACCAAGTGGGAGATACTCCACTCAGAATTGAAAAATGCTGTACAACATTCACTGTGACAAAATAGCTGTAAAGGCATATTCCAAGTTCTACTCTGCTGCATATTTAACAAGAATGCAGTGTGTGTCCCATAGTGACTTTAAAAGAGCAGTATAGTTGGCCTACTGCATGCAGAACATGAGATTCATTCATACAAGAAATAGGAGCACAGCACACATCTTCAGCCTGCTCCACCAGGTCAAAAGGATTATAGCCAACCTTCAGATCCACATTCCTGCCTGCTCCCACTGGTCCTCAGTAGAGGCACCAAAAATCTCAGCCTTGTGTGTTTCTCAAGGATGGAACCTTCATAACTCTCTCTGGGATACAGAATTCTGAAGATTCACGATCCGATGAATGAAGAAACATGACAACTTCAGGTTTGCTAAACTCGAGAGTTTAGACCTTAGTCAGATTCTCTTCCTAGAGAATCTAAGAAAACTTCACTGGACCAATTCCAATACAAGTATATCCTCTCTCAAATATGGACACCAAAACTGAACAGTACTTCAGGAATGGTCACACTGCAGTTACAGCACAATTGTCATCATTGTACTCTAACCCTTTTGCAATTATGGTCATGATGCTATTTGCCTTCCAAATTGCTTCAAGCACCCTCATACTGTTGCCCTTTTGCACAAGTGTACCGGAAATCCTCTTCCCCGCCCAAAAAACGAATGACAGGCACATCATGTTCAGAGATTTCTATTTTAGCAAGTGGAGATATTAACATGGTCTGGTGAAATATAGAGCAACTTTAATTGCAGCAAATAAACTCCATTTAACAGGAGCAATCATAAAATCAATATTTTCAAACAGTTTGATGAAGGAGTGGAGACTCCGCTACAATATAAATGGCCCTCACCAGTTTGCAGTTAGATTTTTCTCCTGGTTGTCCTATTTTTTTGGTTTTGTTGATAGCTGCTTGAGACTTCAGGACTAAAGAAAAGAATAGGATTAGTCAGTATTTCTTCTCAGAATAAGATCAAGCATTCCAAGTATTGTCAACCAAAATCACATCTGTAAAAATGGGTATCACTCGGTTTCAATAACTGTTGAGATTTTGACTTGTGCTTTAATCAACTAGATGAATAAACAGTAGGCCGACTTTGTTCTCCAGCTGTGGCCTGAACACGAGTATGACTGGGTGTTAAAAGGTTGCCCCTATCGGTGGTTAGCCATGTCCTGGTAAACCAGATACTTTCTTTCAAGGGCAGATTTGAAGCCACTTAGCACCAATTATCTAGTGCAAAAAAGAAAAAGAAAAAAAGGGTTTGACTGCAAATTTGAAAGCAACACTAACTAATTTCTGAATGACTACTTTAGTCCTGGGTCTAACATATCAGAGGCTTAAGGGGCCAAAATTATCTATGCCTGCTCCTAATTAGTCTACACGTTTACAAAATTCTTCCCATGACCAAATGATCATAAAATTTCAACATATCACAGTGAGGATCATACAAAATTACAAAACTAAAGCCCAAAGATATGCCTTCTCAACGGAGAGGAGCTTAACATAAAACATCTAATTCATTATACATAGAGAATTTTCATGGGTCGCCTCCTGAAAGATCTAGTTTAGATGGGGTGAGGGAGGCATTTAATGGGAAAGCAAATGTAGGAGCTAAATCTCAGGCAGAAGTCTCTGCCTTTCCATTAGTAATAGCTAGTCTAAAGAGCACAACGCATCAGAAAAGAAAGGCAGTGGGTTCACTTGTTTGTAGTATTGTCTACCAATGTCTCGCACCAGTTGGAAAACAACTGAATCAGTTACCCAATGCAGCTTAAAATTAAGTAGGCAACTAAATTATTGCCCACAGACCTGAAAGGGTCATTTGCTGAAGCAACTCAAGTCAAGCAGGGCAAGAGACACAAAATTAGGCTATTTGCATTTGAGCTTGAATAGCCTATAGACTAGGAGACTAATAGCCTACTAGTCTATAGGCTATTCAAGTAGCCAGAGAGTTCCCACTATAAATTAAATCTGGTCCACTAGCAATGCTGGAAAAGTACTAGAACACTTGAACAGATCTTTCATGTCCCCAGCTTGGGCTTTAGCCATACATTACACTCAAAATACAGGCTACAGATCCTGAGTTTCCAGTACGATGGGATAAACCAATCAGCTAAGACACTGTTCACTTAAAAAACTTACCCTGCACAGGTTTAACAGCTTTTGGTGCAATTTTTGGTTCAAGCCGACTCCTTGTCTGTAGTGGCATGATAGGTGCTGCTTTGACATCTAGAATCCAATTTTGGAGAATGACAGAGGATTAGCTATTGAAACAACTTTGCAACAGCAAATTCACACATTTCATAAGCTATATCCTGAAAAGTAAAGTGCACTTTCATTGAAAGTTTTGCACGCGTTAAAATTCATTACCATAGAAAAAATGTTGCACACATCCAGGAATGGAATTTGATTGGAGATAGGGGCCATAAAGTTAAAAAATAACAATTAGATTTGACATAAACAAACTAAAGTCACACCATATTATAATTTAAATTATTTACACAAATGTTGCAGTTCCCAATTTTAAATGCAAGTTAAAAATTCCAATTCGACAAAACGTTAAAGTTCGATGAGGGACTTTCAAAAAGGCTTTTAAGAGTTCTGCTGTATTATTTATAAATAGCACAGTGCCAGATTTCAGGCACATATACTAAGCCGGTTATAAATCTGAAGTTAGCTATTTACTGACATCAGTTGCATAGAATTTCTCTCTTCAACAAAAAAAAGAGGAACAGAAGACATCACGGTTGGAGACCACAGGGATATTTAATGTACTTCAGCTCTCCTAGCTGTTTATCAAGATACTGTTCATTGTACTACGGAGAGGGAAGCTGATAACCAGATTTTGAGGTAAACCTAGTCCCTAATTTGAAGCTCTTGGACTCCTGTTCAATCACCTTAATCTTTGGAGGCATAGAGTGCAACACCACAGAAAAAAGGTCACTCAACCTAATGCACTTGTCTAGCTTTTTGAAAGGGATCAGACTAAACATAATCCCCATTTTTTCCCCTTACAGCCCCTACAAATTTTTTCAATTTCAAATCAGGGATCTCAAACTTTGCCCTGAAACTAAAACTTAACTGTTATAGCTTTTCTTTTTTCCATATGAACATCACTCATTCAGGTACAAATTTTAGAAAATCACTTTTGCATCCTCAAGGGCCTTGCATAATTCTCTCAGCATGGTACTCAAATTTTCAGCTGAGTTTTACTAGTTTATTCTCAAGTGTTCTGCTTCCATGTTTGCAATCAAATAACAGACTCTTTCTGCTACTCAAGACTTCAGTTAAACATCAGCCCAAACCACACAACCATTACCTGCTCCACTCTCCACCTCAAAAATAACAAACCCCCAAACTTACTGGCCTGGTTCTTTTACTTTAACCATATTCTCTCGCTAAAAGTTTTTAGCTTTGACTAAAACTCTTGCTCACACCTTCTAGTACTGCATTTAGAAATTGCACACCTAAAATTGTTCAGGGGATGTGGGTGTCACTGCTTTGCCAGCATTTGTTGCTCATCCCTCATTCACCTCAAGCTGAGTGGCTTTCCCAGACATTTCAGAGTTGAGAGTCAACCGTATTACTGAGTCTGAAGTCAGATGAGGGCCAGAACAGGTAAGCTCAGCAGCTTTACTTCCCTAAAGGACTTTAATGAAACAGATGGGGTTTTGTAACAGTTGATAATTACTGGTCATCAATTATACTGGACTTTTAAAAAAAAATGCAGATTTGCTTTAGTGAAATTTTTGAATTCAATATCTGCCATGGTGGCATGTGTTTTGGATTACCAGACTAGTGACATTACCACTACGCAATAGCTTCCCCCGATGTCAGGTGTTATTAAAAAACTACTATTGTTTATTTGAGAATTTGGATTTTGAATTAGTGGCATTGAGTTTGTGTCTTCGTGAATGAGTATTTAATGATTAATTTGCCAGTATTCTGAAGCTATGGCTTTTTGGAATCAGTAGGAGTGCGCTTCTGGAGTGCTAATGAGAATTTGTTTGCAATGAGAGACTTTTACAGACAGACAGAATAAGCATTGACGATCATTAGCCTGCATTCAATTATAATGATCAGGAATTGATTTTTTATTACTTAGTGGAAACATCAATAGCCTGGAAAATGTTTGGTATGTTTGCAGATGTCTTGGTTAAAGTTGATGCACTAATTTCTCAGTTTTTTGGGGGAGGGGTTGGGAGTGGATACTTAGTTTAGAACTGTTAGGAATTAGCTTATCTCAGTGCCAGTCTTTTTAATCAGAAGGTGCCAGATCAGAATACTAAATGGGTTATTCAAAGCTGACAAAATCAGTTGTGTGAATAGTCAAGGATGAAGCCATCAAGATCAGAAATCAAAAGTAATAGTCAAGTTAAACCGATAGATATGAATGGGGAAGGGACACACAGGGAAGGGAATTTTATTTGGTGTTTAAGAATTCTAAAAGAATGCTCTTGATAGATGGAACAGAGGAAAAATACAAAGGTTTTGGCATCTTTCAAACTATTAAATTTAAATAGCTTAGTTTATTCTATTTTGTGATTTTTTTGTGTAATAACACAGAACTATACCACTGCATGCTTAGGATTCAATTGAAATACTGATTTTTGTTTAGACTCTAGTCTGCGATCTGACTTGTCAGATATCAGCAGGGATCATAAGATAATGCTCTATGTACGACCTAACCAAGAGTGTTTAATAGGAAGATCACTGGTTTTAGTTCATGCTACGCAGCCCAACTGTCCCTTCAGTCCTTATCTCAACTGGAGCCAGACACTGACTTGAATCCCTAAAGGGACCTATCCATCATAACTGCAGAATTGCTCACCTGATCTGCTGAATTAACCCAATTGGAAAAAAAAACAAACAATCTAAATATTTCTATCATTGGTTGCAAGGGCTGCCCATATTTGAAAGACACAAAATGGCTGACAAAAGGGATAAACAGAATTAAAAAGCCTGCTCCAGCATTTAGACACAAAATGACATACAAGTGATTAAAACAGAATGAAACATCCGCTCCAGCATTTAAGTGAGACAATAGTGCCATTGAGAAGTGGGGGGGGGGGGGGCCTGCACAAACAGCAATCAGACTGTCCAATAAGAGGATGTTCAAGGACAGAGTTTGAGAATTTGGAACAAACATTGACGATAAAGCTTCTGCAATAACAGAAACAAATGAACTAATGGGATTGTGGCTCGTAAAGACCTGAAGGATCAAACAAGTTCATTAAGCTACAACAAGTGATTGATTCCAGTCTCATTAATGAAAGGATATTGTCCCAATAGGTGAATAGCATTAGTTAAGACATGGGGTATAAATCTCATTCCAGGAGACAGCCAAATGGTACAGATAGCCTAATTCAACAGCTGAAGTTATATTGTAGTAATCAGTTGTTTCTTTAAAGTTATTCACAATATTAAGAAATAGGCTCTGGTTAAAGATTCTTTAGATAATCAGAGATAGATTTCAATGTAATTATAGATGCACATATATAACCAAAATACAATAAAAGCTTAGAGAAAACATTCAAACAGATGTGAAAGTTAGCCAGCCTCGGGGAACCGTTTCCTTATCATTAAAGGGATGGCCTGGCATATCCTGTAAGAAACAAATTGCTCACAACTCTTTAGCTAAAGAGTGCTAACAATAGAAGTAGTTATAAAACTTTACATGTAACTAACTTAGTAGTAGAAATGAATATTACAAATTTTAAAGTAGTTGGAACAGTGGGAAAATATAACAGAAGTAACAGAATTTGATAGAGATAGCACGTGGAATACAATGAACCAACAGAAGTCAAGCAGTCCTTAGAGACACACAAGACTGGAAAGTGTCCAACGACTATGGACAGTAACTTTGGAATGCAAATTAATAGGACACATTATAATGTCCAGGCCTTGGGATCTCCCAATGTCTGTTAAGCATGAGGACATCATGGGAACCTGGGGCTCTCTTAGGAATGCCCATCATTGATTAGGTGTTTCACAGGATTGTATGTATAAGATAAGGGGGAGGACACAATGACCACATTGTCTGTGATTATTGTAACACAAAATGTATAAAGAGGTTATATCTCACTGAAAATCAGAATGTAATTGATCTCTCTTCCAATCTGAGTTTAAGATTAAGGGAACAACGGTGTTCTCGTGTTCGAGGCCAGATTTGGGAGGAATCTTTGTCCCTATCCCTGTGTGAACTGGTGACTGCTTGAAGAAGAACAAAGACTGCCAAGTGCCCAAATCCTGCCTGCCTCTTGTGTCTGTCCCTGATTTTTTTGGGGGCTGGCGTGTGGGTGTTGCTCCTATGCTGACATTTACAATGAATGCCATTCACATTTTATTTATTCAAATATTTAGTCAGAGAGAGTTACACCTCAAATTCCAGTTTCCTTGGAACATACACTGCTTCTACCCAAACTGCCACTTCTGTAGCCAACTACAGAGCTCGTACTTTTCTGTCCACAATGACAAACCTTAGTATATTGCTGAAAACGGAAGCACCAATTTTACCATTTCCCTCCTGATACGCTTATAAATTCTCTCAACTTTCACAAAACTTTTAGACAGTAGTTTTACACTTTGGCTTCCAGCTTAATTGATTCTCACTATCCATTCTAGCAGAATCCACAGTATCAAAGCTTTTAATTCATCCTTAATACTTTCACTACTTTGTCATCCAAAAAGCATTTATTGAGGAACTGAAGGGCAACCCCTTCAATTTCTCCCCATGCAGCAACACAAGCAAATCAGTTTTAACCGACAATCACCATTTAAGTGCAAGTACTTTGCCTGAACAATGCAGCCTTTTACTATTTGCAAAGGATCAAAGGTCAGGTAGCATTGTGGAACTATGGCTTTTCTTCCCCCAGTAGCTATATTAAAATTGGTCAATTTCATCAGAGTTTGAACATAAAAAAATGGCTTCAGTTACACTAAAAGATAAATTTTGTTTTCAGGGCTGTTTGCCAAGCACTTGAAGGAAAGATCACAAGTTGACGGTTAAGCGAGTTAGCAAATCTATCAAGAGATTAAATAATTAGTTAGTTCGTACTAAAATAGGTTTCCTAGGATAGGATGCATTTCTGCATGTTCAAATAATTCTGTTCAACAGATTATGGACACTGTCACTTTGAAATCTAACAATTACACTTGCAAGAGTTGTTAGGCCTTCAACTGATTAGGACATACTACAATCCAAAACAAAAAGCTCACCTCCAGATTT